TAGTTCGTTAAAAATATTACAACTTTAATGTTTGATAATTTATAGGTTATGTGAATTTATGAAATCACATATGTAATTATAATGATTGACGTGTGAATGAATTTTTCTTTGAATAATAATCTCGACTATTCGTGAATATTATTATATTTCACGTGTTACGCATTCGTCCGTTTAATTTTTCTTCATTCGTCATGCCTTTTACAATTTAATTATTGGTATGAACAAAATGAAGAGTAACTATTCGCTATAAATCTTTTGTCACATGTTGGCCAAACGTATAGTAATTATAGGCTTATGGGTATTAGAACACACGTTGGGGCAATGCAACATACGTGTAAGAATTATCTTATGCCTCAGAAAGGAAAATACTTTTTTACGATTATTTATTGCTCGTTCCTCTCATCCCACAGATTTTTCGCCCCAGTTTCGCCTAAGACCCCTGAATCACGATCGTATTGTGACGAAGGGACGGAACGTAATAACTGGAGCAATCCGGGGTAATAAATTAATAGAGGACGCTGCGAGCTAATAGAAAAAATAGACTGGAAAGCCTGCAACGCGGGCGGACATCACCCCTGAACCATTTTCCCCGGCTAATGCAATCAGGTTTTATATACTGGGTGGTCCATTGGAAGGGGATCACGTGATTGTGAGACGGGGCGTTCACGTGTGTATGAGGAGGACAAAGTTTTTGTTTGTAGAAACTTTCGATAATATTTTTTTTTTCACGGTGTGTTCGTTTTTAAGGAAAATAAACAAGTAATTTGTTGTGACACGTAATGTAATATAAAGAGAAATTAAAAAAAAATGTTTTTGAATTATAGAGAAAAATTTTTAAACGGATCAAAAATTTTTTAACTTCTAGATTACCTCACTTTATGCAAAACATACATCCATTAGATTATCCATTTATAATTATATAAATCACATCTTACTTTTTGCTTTCTTTTTATACATCATCCTTTATCTTGAACATAAAATCTTCAACAATCTAAGCATTGGAAACAAAATTTTTCTCAAATAATAATTAATTCACCATCGGCAAATCACCAACTTTCAATTCCTTATCAAAAAAAAAAAAAATAAAATAAAATTGACTTGAAACGTTCCCTAAAATCTTAAGGAAAATTTCAAAAATTCACAACCGTGCTTTTATTCCGTACAGAATAAAAATCGTATCCCTCCCCACCGGTAATATCCGCGGTATATCGCGCAGAAGAGGACGACGAACGGGCGGAAGATAGGTCGTCATTACCGGAACCAATTTTCTACGGAGGAACGCTACCTACGTCTCTCGAGTGTCCTTGTCGGGATTTATCTCGCGCGCGCACGCTCTCGCGTATACTTACATATACCTGGAAGACGAGCATAATACAGGCGCGGTAGCAAGGAATACACAGCCTGCTCGAGAAGTCGTTGGAAGAATGGTCGATTTCATATGAATGCATTCCATGCAAATGTGCTGTCGACCATGGGGAACGGAGGGGGCCTGGAAGAGAGAGAGAGAGTGAGAGAGAAGAGGAGGAGGAGGACGGAACGGTCGTTCTTTCGAGCGCAGAGAGGCTTTCGAGTGAGGCGAGTGGTGGGGGATAGGAGCAGGAGAGGGGGAAAGTTCGGCACGCCGATGCGGAGATAATTGGGTGAATACATTTCGGCCCTTCGTACCGCAAATATATATTTTTCACCAGGGTCTCCGCGTGCATTATGCTCGCGCGCGCTAGGAATGCGGCCGCACACGTGCGTGCAGAGTGGCGAGAGAGAGAGAGGGAGAGAGAAGAGGAGGAGGAGGACGGAACGGTCGTTCTTTCGAGCGCAGAGAGGCTTTCGAGTGAGGCGAGTGGTGGGGGATAGGAGCAGGAGAGGGGGAAAGTTCGGCACGCCGATGCGGAGATAATTGGGTGAATACATTTCGGCCCTTCGTACCGCGAATATATATTTTTCAGCAGGGTCTCCGCGTGCATT